TGTCTAAACAAGTCGCAAACAGCTAAACACTTCGCAAATGTCTAAATGAGTCGCAATCAGCTAAACACAACGCAAATGTCTAAATGAGTCGTGAACAGCACACATCGCAAACGTCTAAACACGTCGCAAATGTCTAAATGAGTCGCAATCAGCTAAACACAACGCAAATGTCTAAATGAGTCGCGAACAGCTAAACACATCACAAATGTCTAAATGAGTCGCAAACAGCTAAACACATCGCAAATGTCTAAATGAGTCGCGAACAGCTAAACATATCGCAAATGGCTAAACACATGGTACAGTAAATGGCTTAAAGTACACCAACCAGCTATATGCACTGCAAATGGCTAAATGCACCACACACAGACACACGCCAAACAGCTAAACGTGCCGCAAAAGGCTAAGCACACACTAAACTGTTAAGCACACAGCAAACACTTGAAAGATGCAAATTCCAAAACACAAAAACACAAAACATAAATCCAACATAAAAATGCTACAAAAAATGCTCCAATCACAAAAAATAGAAGCCAAAACCAACAAACCAAATGCAAAGAAAAAAAACTGCAAATACAAAAAACAACTGCAAGTAAGGAAATGCTACAAACATAAAATGGAAGTGCACCCAACCACAAGGGGAACCAGACCCTCAAGACATGTGGAACAACACCGTCAGTAAAAACATTAACAGAACGCAGAAGTTGGACAGAAGGAAGAAAATGCACGTTTTCCTTCCTCAGTGTCTTTACAGGAGGTCTGCTCACATAGGACGTGGCGGTCGGGTCAATCCAATTCAAAGGCAGCAACATCCACTGATCCTCTGGATTTCACAGATACACAGTTAAAGTCTRGGATGGCAGTAGCTGAGAGTCATTCACAACACATCCTCTAAGCRCGAGCCTCAGAAACTTGAACGTTTGGCCAAAATGGTAACGACTTCACAATTTCCCCAAGAAAGAGTTTAAAACTGTGGCATGAAGGGCAGCGGGTGATAAGCATTCCTTCAAGGGACTGAGGAGCTTTTCTCTTATTTTGGAGGTCAAGACTCAAACCAAAAGCCAGAAAAGAATTTCAGACTTGTTCTGTTGTTGTATTCAGGTTATTTAAAAAATACAGAAATACAGGAGTTAAAAGATTACCTCTTGATACTATAGATCTACTTTAGTTTGTTTACAGCTCATATTCAATTCAAATTCAAAAATACTTTATTGATCCCAGAGGGAAATTAGGTAATAAGTGATAAGTTATTGACAAAAGATCTGTCACTACTTAACTTAATGAAGCTTGTCCTCTTCTAAATGTATGTTTATAATATATTTATTCAAACTGTCAGGCCGTGGGGGTGGGGAGTCATCAATATTTAACAGTGGTCATTGCTCCCTCAGCCCATTTGGTGGCACCCCTGGATAGAAGAAGTGGTAAAATGACTCCGTTGTAAAAACTGCAGAGCCCTAAAATAATCAGAGGCCACAGCAGATCAAGTTCAAATGAACTTTAAAATGACTTCTGCCCTGGGCTTAAGTTGGACTTATGTCAGGGGCTATGTTGTGTCTATGTCAAGTTTAAACTTGGCATAGACTCGACATAAACTTGACATAGACCTTGACATACACACAACATAGACCCACTTTAAACCCTCCATGAACTAACGGTCTGTTAGTTCATGGAGGGTTTAAAGTGGGTCTATGTTGTGTGTATGTCAAGTTTATGTTAGGTCTCTATGTAAGGTTTGTGTGTTGAGTCTCTGTTGGGTTTCTGGTTATGTCAGGTCTATGTCAAGTTTATGT